CACTTGGAGAAGTGTTCACATCCACAGAAAGAGTCCCTGTTATCAGTTAAGAATTTTTTTCTTGTCCAGGAAGGTCATCTCTTGTGATAACCCTGCAGGCTACAGCAAATCTGTTTATGCTGAGCGTGCTTTCAGTATTTTAGCACATGTCAAATCAACTTTTAGTCAAGGTTGACGGCTCCTGTATAACTGAATGTAACATTATCCACTGCCCTTGCACAAGGCAAATTCCGAACTCTAAAAACCTTGTATGATATCTTATATCTTATTTTCTGTGATCAAAATTGAAATGGGAAAACCAAGTTATGCTTGGTGTGGATGGCTACATTCTTTATATGTTCCCTGGATTAGCCAAGCAGCATGTTGAGATAAAACAAGGAACACATGCAAAACCCCCAGTGGGAGTAGTAGGCAAAATACGTTCAAGATGAATACCATTTACCATAAACATGTTTGGACTCAGTGCTAAAAGATGGAGTCTGGGTGGTGGAGGCAAGTTGCCAGCAGCAGAGCATGAGTAGCTGAGCAGGGATCAGTGAAGAGGAGGTTGTACTTAAAGGACTTTGTTGAGAGAATGGGCTGTGATCAGTGGGTGACTGAGGAGCAATCATAAAACTATTAGTAGCTGATGCTATTAGTAGCTGAAGCTTATGACAGCTGAGCACATGACTCTGTGTCCTGCATGAACTAGCAATGCTTCATTAAGAAAAAAGGTGTCCATCTCAAACAATGTAACTGTCACTGCACTCATGTGTCCCTTATGTTTGCATGGTTGTGGTGCAATTCATCCACTAGAGGGCAGGGCAGAGGCGAGTACTTCTTACAACAACTAGAATGTTGATGGTGGTGGAGGTTGAAATGTCATCGTGTCCCATGATCATCTCACTTGAACTAGTAGTTCCCCTGACCCCATAATTTTTGGTGGTACCGCCCAGTTTCAACTCTCTCATCCGTATTTGCAATCTTTCAGGAGATGTTCTCAAATATGGACAAAATGAAAGCAGGGTACAGACAGAGGAATATAACAGTTTCTATGTACATATCTAACGTTGAATATGAATGAACCTTAACATGTCTTTCAATGTGGTCCCTTCTGTCTGTAAGCATTTCTGCTCGCAGTCAAGGTGAACATGACCTATGACGTGTTAAAGGTCCAGTGTGTAAGATTAAGGTGAAAGGGATCTATTGGCAGAAATTTAATGTAGAATAATCCTCATGATGTTTTCACTAGTTCATTTCATCTAAATTGTATGAATTGTAGTTTTCTTTACCCCAGAAAAGGTCCTTTATATTTAAATACTTTATATTTACATCGAGTGGACCCTCTCTATGGAGGCTGCCATGTTTTTTACATTAGTCCAGACTGGACTAACTAAACACCTCTTGAGTTTTTATGACAACTGAAGCTACCACAGTTTCTTTTTCATGTTTGGAAAAGAGCCTGTGGTTTTTGTGCTTTTCCAAGAGAAATGGACAGATAATTCTTTGTTGTTGTATTAAAAGAATATTTGTGATTCTAATTGCAGCGCTAAGGGCTTGTTGACGAAAAATGTGAATCTCAAGCTTCAGCTCAAAAGGAGCTTCACTGGATGAATTGTGGTAATTAAGTCCTCTTTCAAGGGGAGTGGGGGTGTGGAACAAGTAACTCACAAAACCACATCAAGACAGGCCGTATAAGAGTGCCTCCTGAAATAGCATCCCCTAAGCGGCAGGCCATTGTCTTCATGGTGACAAAAGCACAATAATTAGTTAAGGTTAGGTTTGATAACTTGGTTACTTGTGGGGAAAGATCATGGTCTGGGGTAAAACAAATACTTCCTGAAGGTAAGACAACTTATGGTTGAGGAACAGTCACCAGAAAGGAAGATTTGTTTCCTGTGTTTTGTTAGAGCAAGGAGCCGGGTCCACCCAGGACAAGTTCCCAGTCTATCACAGGGCTGACATGCAGAAAAGCATGCAAACTCCACACAAAACGATCCCCAGAACCTTCTTCCCATGAACGACTGCATCACTGTGCTACGTTTATTTAGCCAGTATAGTCCTAAATCACATTGACTGGACCCCTCGTTTGTAGGGGAGAACTGGCAGAATAACACTTTGCAGACAAAATCAGGCAACAGAAAATGGGTAAATAATAGGTGACAACGACTAAAATAAGCTCTGAACACTGACATTTAACGAGAAGACTTTCTTTCCCATTTCTGCTGTTATTTCCATTTGAGACAGAGCTCGTAAGATAAATTCAGTGAAGTATCGTTGAAGATGACAACAATGACAGAAATGTCCACTCTGGATCACAAAGGAAAATAATGAATGCACTGTTCTGCACCACTCTGCTGATACATTCCTGTATGACAGATCACCATATTTTAAGAAATGGGAACAAGGTGGCACCAATCAACATTCTCCTGAATGGTGTTAAGACAGAGGGGTTGGTTGTGGAAGGATTCAGGCTGGATTAGGGTGAAGCAATGAATGATAATATGACTTAACGTTAATACAAGCAGCTCAATTACTGTGGATTAACGTGAAAACACATCTGTGTTTTGGTGCGTGTGGCGCTGGGAAGGTCATAGGCAGTTTGGACTGTATCCAAGAGTCGAACATCTGCATAAACCAACAGCTGCTCCATCGCTGTCCACAGCTGATAATCCTCCGCTGCTGAGGGGAGACAGGAGAATATGTGGCTGAGGGCAGCAACACATCAACAATCTGCATTATTGTTTCCACACATGAAAGATGTTTTAATTAAATCTCTTGAAGTGACTGGCAGCGTTAAGCATCTTATTTCTTTATCATCTTTGAAAACAAGAAAAATATAAATATTATTATTATGCCGATCGTGGTACAGTAGAGATCATGCTTCCATAAATGAGTTAGAGGTGTGAGATGTGACATTTTTATGTAAGTGTATCACTAAAATACTTTTACCAAATTTATAACTACAGTTTTATGTTACGAGGCACAGTAGAGCCTGAATGACCTGGTGCAGGTCATTATTGATTCAAACTAAAGTGGCTCTTACAAGCGTCACCGCTTCTCTATTGCATGTGTTCTACTGTCTGTGGTCAGAGGGGAGTGAACACATGCTTTTTCCTAATTATCCTGTAACAGAGGAGGAGCAGCTCAGCACAAGCTGGCCTGGCCATTTAGGTTTGATCCAGATCATAACCTGTACCATTATGTCATTCTATCTCAACATCATTAGAGTAACTTTTTTCAAACTCCCTATTGTCTAATACAACAGTTCTCAAACCTTTGCATATGAAGGACCACTTAACTGACTTTTTTACAAAAAATGATTATAGAAGTTTTATGGCAGGAAGTGTATGAAATTCAGGACCATTACAGGCAAACATTCAGTCAGAGTGTTGGATGGATGAAATTAGGTTTTCTAATAGTACAAGAAATAGAACAAGAATTCCCTCTCTGTCTGTATCTCTGTGGCTCGTATAGCTCAAGAAACCCTCATCTTATCAGCTTCACATTTGGTATGTGTATTGTTAAATGTTCAATGTCAATAAACTTTGAGTAAAAGTGACCAGTGCTCTGTACCAGCTCATCAATGTAAGTGTTGTTGTCGATCACGACAACAGATGTGTTCACAATAAAGAGCAACGACAACTAATTCTCCAGTTCTGAGTCAAGTTTCACAGAACGTTAAGCAAACAAGTGAACAGCTCTTTGTGTAGCCGTGGTGGTGCGGCTTCAGGGTTCTGTGGAATGAGTCCAGCTGCAAGTCTTAACTTTCTGAGGCTCAACTACTGCAGGTCACTTTTCATTTCAGAAAGAACACTGCAACCAGAATCACCACAGGCCAAACAAACAGCCCATTCCATGCAAAGGTCCCTGGACCACACTTTGAGATCCCCCGGTCTAAAAGCAGAATTCATTCAGTGGTTTTCACTTCATCATTACAGTTATTTTCCTTTTTGGCAAATAGAAAAACAACCATGTTTGTGGTTCAGTTTGAGGTTTGAAAGTGTTTGAAAAAGCTATAAATTTCATATCAATACAACATTATTACATCAGCACTTGTTTAGTTAACTCACGTTCAACTGTTTATTGCTAACTGGCTGTTGGCAGCAGCCTCTTATTTGACAGACATTTTAATTCTAAACAGTCACTTTTTAATATTTTTCTTTTATATTTACGTACATAATTTTACATTCTACGGTATGTACGTACATACAATATGTTTTCTACTTATGAATTAGTATATACATGACATATGTGTCAAATATATAACTTTATAATTAGGGTATATGGGCTTCACATATGTCAATGTTTATTACATACCTGCCAAATACTTCTAGGTCTATTTCATTTATTGAAGTTCACTATAAGACCTACATTAAATGTGCATAGGAAAGGAAAACAAGAACACTGTGTAGTCTATTACATTGTAAGATACTAATGACATGTACCATATTGAATTAATAATATATGAGTGGACCAAATAAGAAACATGTAGCTATATAATGCACATGCACGCTCTCGTGCAACAACACCACAAATTGTGCACTCACATGTGAATTCAACCGCAGTCTGATTCAGTTCAGGAGACGTCCACACTGTTTAGTGCAGATGCTGTCATTGTAATGCAGACATGAGCAGCAGGCTTCCTCTGGTCCTTCCTCTGGTCCGTCCTCTGGTCCTGCTGAAGATGATGCTGATAGGAGCAGCGATGTCTCGTGCTCGTTCACTGGGATGAGCGGATCCTCTGAGGTGCTCGTGCCCACGGAGCGACTGTGACGCGCACTGAAGACCTCCCGCGTGGACAGTGAAGTGAGAGTGAGTGAAGACTGGAGACTGTCCGGATCCGACTCTGACAGACCTGAGACAGTCAGCATGAGGACAGCAGCAGGGGTGTGGAGCCACAGTGGACCCTGACACTTCTCTAGAGGATCTCACTTTGTCTTATCTGGGGTCTGCACCACCACACACACACATGTAAGTCTGCACTGAGGAGTTATTGTATCGAACAACATTATGTGTACATGGAGCATAGACAGCAGATAGTAAAGTATAATGTGAAGCCTATGTGTTGAAAGGTGTGTGTTAGAGTTTTCTATTCTTTTTAATGGCTTTATTAATGCGTATTTAAGTGTATTTTGAGTGTGTGTGTGTGTGTGTGTGTGTGTGTGTGTGTGTGTGTGTGTGTGATTGTTGTAGGGACCTAAATATGTTAACATCATATTATGGCCGGTTGTCTTCCTTATGGGGACAAAAATCTAGTCCCCATAAAGTAAATTACAATTAGAGTTAGAAAGCTTTATTGTCATTGCATACCATAATGCAACATTTTCAAGAAAATGAAACATACATACACATCTGTCCATATTCATGTTTAATAAATAAATAATGAGTTCGTCCTGAGATATTATGATGATGCAGAGGTGGTGGAGGTACTGGGGAGTGATAGGGTGATGGGAAAAAGCTGTTGTCAATAAATCATTGATTGTTAAAGGTCCAGTTTGCAAGATTTAGGTTAAAAGGATCTATTGGCAGAAACTGAATATAAAATAATCCGAATGATGTTTTCACTTGTGTGTGATCATCTATATTGTATGAATTGATGTTCTTTACCGTAGAATGAGCCCTTTAGATATTCATCAGGAGCTTGTCCTCTCTACAGAGGACGCCATGTTTTGTACAGTAGCCCAGGCAGGATCAACTTAACATCTTTTGAGTTTTTTATGACATCTGAAGGTTATCACTGGTTCTCTTTCATGTTTGGAAGGGGAGGGTGAATTTGGTTGTTTTCAGCTGCATCATGCAACTTCACCATTAAATCCTACACACTGAACCTTTAAGGTAAAGATGTCAAAGATGTTTTAAAGTTAGGTTAACTTTAAGGTTAGGTTAAGATTAAGTATAGTTTATAATTTATAGTTAGGCATGTAGTAACTAAACTGGTTAAGGTTAAAGTAATGGAAGTCAATGTAATGCCCTCTGACGTCATGGAGACAAGTGTGTGTGTGTGTGTGTGTGTGTGTATGTGTTGAATCTTGATTCGTGAATGTAATTGGTCTCATAGCTCATCCTCAAAACCAAATATAGTTAATTCACGAGAAGCTATCAAAGCTTGTATTTATTGCAACTTGAATTACTTGTGAACATTTTTTAATTGAATCATCAAACGGAAATATTCTAAATACCAGACCAAAGCTTCCAATAGAAAAGAAGGAAGCGAAGGAAGATAAGAAGATGTTATCATTGGGGTGTAATTAACTTGACTGGTTGCCAGGTGTTGGCATCTACACACACACAAACACACAAACACACACACAGACAATTATGTTTTTGCAGAGGCGATGATAGCATCTGTCCACCTCAGTGAGCATCAAAGATGCACCCTACATGGCCCGCTGCTCTCTTTCTGTCTGCCACTATATTGCTCACTGACTTTTTATTTTGTTGTCTTGTGCAAATCTATGCAGTTGAATCTTTTACACCAACTTCATACATAAGGCTCATGTATTTATTTTGCTTTATCTCCCTTTGGCATCACCAGCCCCCCTGCAGCTCATCTTGATGCTGACTCCTTGGTGAGGGTCAGAAGATGAACGCCTCCTCCTGCTGTGATCATGAGATCACCATGAACAAGCAGAGCAACGGATTTGACCTCAATGCCACCAGTGACTGGACATCAGTGGACCCAGCGCCGCAGCTGCCTACCTTTTCTACAGCGGCCAAATTCAGAGTGATCATTACCTTCATCCTGTGTGGCGTTTCCACTTTCTGCAATTCAGCTGTGCTGTGGGCAGCTAACGGCCACAAACGCAAATCCCACGTCAGGGTGCTGATAATCAACCTGACTGCAGCAGATCTCTTGGTTACCTTCATTGTGATGCCTGTGGACGCCGTGTGGAACATCACCGTGCAGTGGCTGGCTGGCGACCTGACCTGCAGATTCTTGATGTTCCTCAAGCTGCAGGCCATGTACTCCTGTGCCTTTGTCACAGTGGTGATTAGTCTGGACAGACAGTCCGCCATCCTCAACCCTCTGTCCATTAGCACAGCCCGCAAAAGGAACAGAGTCATGTTGACGGTGGCATGGATTATGAGCATCTTATTTTCAATCCCTCAGGTATGAAACACTGGTTTGACATGACAGGCTATTACAGATGGTATGGTTCAGTTAATCAAAGACTTGCCACTATGAATAAAATGAGTCAGAGAGATGTGCTGGGTTGTAAGATGCTTTCCTCCATGCTCAGGTGTTATAGTGAGCAGGCTATAGTTCTTTAAGCAATAGAAGACTGGATCTACATATATTATATCATTCTCAGATAAATATATTAAACGGTATGAAAACTCCACATACTTGAGGGAATAATGATCTGGTTTTACTTTAGCTTGAATTAGATTCTTATACATGTTTCATTATTATCTGTTTACATTTCATATGCATAAAATGTGGAAAATTCATGAAGCTTTGATGCAGGCAAACCTACAGCATGATCTCGGAGCCCACAGAGTCTCAGTGTGAGGGATTAGTGACTCTATCACTGAGTAACACCAGGATGGGAATCCCTAATCCTGCCAGTACACTGTACATGCCTCTCTGGAACCATTAAGATATTTGGCTGCATAGCGAGAAACACTGTTGATCATGTTGAGAGGAAAAAGCAGAAATGTGGGAAAGCAGGCCTAACTGAAATTTGATGCAGAACTTTTAATGGAAGTTAAACAGTTTTAATATTCATTTTAATACTTTTTTCAAACTGCAATTCAAACAATGTCCATGCAGAGCAAATATATTCAGATAAGTGCTGAAATGAAAAGGTCAATCCAAAAATGTATGTGTATGCCACTGTAATATGGGGATTTATGATGGAGATTTTATAAATGCGTTGTCAACAAAATGATTTTATCAGTTTAGTTGATTGAAAACTTATATGTAAGCACTAATTATAACTGACCAGAACTTGGGTAAGAGATGCAGAAAAGTCAGCACTAACTGACTCCACTTGTTGATCTTATCATCCACATCACAGCACATACCCAGTTCACAGTTGATATTAGTGGCTACCAAATTAATCACTTGAAATTCTTGTTGATTTATGAAACACCAAACACTTAATTTCAGACGGTTATTGTCCTATAGCAAGTCTGACAGCTGCCACTGGCAGATTTTAGCAAATTGCTAACTAATCAATCTAACATAAGTTGGTTAAAAACACAACGAAACACTCCGGTGTGAAAGCCCTGTGTTTTAACAAACCACCCATATTCTAACAACCTGCTCCTAATGTTAATTCGGCTCTAAGCTCCAGTCACCTGAATTCATAATTGCTATAAATGCCACCAGAGGTCACCCAACAATACAACATAACTAAGGGTCATAATAAGCTCCTTGCAGTGGGGTCCTGTTTTTAATGAGGAGAGTCTCTGCATAGCTAAAGCTGCATGTGCCAGACAAGAGACCTGCAAGAGACAGATTTCTTTTTACATAGCACAGGTCGCATGTCAGAAATAGATATATGTCCTTTTATTTCAGTTTTAATGTTAATTTAATTTTCTTTCAGTATGGGGACTAAGCATGTGTTTGGCAAGCACCATCTCTGGTAATGCATGTGGCTGTGTTTAATGACGTATAACCAAAATGCATTACAGAGCAGGATAGAACTGCTAACATTAGCCTCACTTCTGAGCATCCAGCGCCTGCTTCCTGACAGGATATACTACATTATAGTAAGGGATGTTTTAAAAGATTTGTTTAAATAAAACTGTAATCTTACAAAATTATACAGTATGAGGTCACAAGCATCAAATCAAATGATTGAAATAACTGTCAACCACCTCCACTGCTTTCGTCTTTGATATGTTACATAATGGACACGTAATGGTCAAACCAAAGTGATAGGACATAGCATATGGATCTTTCTATCCCACCTCTGCCAAACTGAAAGGACAAAGACTGGGTGATGCCTACCGTCAGTAGAAACGTATTCTAATATCATTTCATTTCTAAATCCACAGATGTTCATTTTCCACAATGTCACCATCACATATCCAGCCAACTTTACTCAGTGCACCACGAGGGGCAGCTTCGTCACTCACTGGCAGGAAACTGCCTACAACATGTTCACCTTCTCCTGTCTTTTCCTGCTGCCGCTGGTCATAATGATCATCTGCTACACCAGGATCTTCATCCAGATCTCCAAGAGGATGATGACAAAGAGCTGTAAGTTCTCTGCTGGGGCTTCTGTCACCCAGAAACTAAGATTGGTTCTGGACTTTTTGCAGAGTTTATCACATGAAAATCAGTGAGAGATCTGCCTAGTCAGACGTTTTCACAACAGGCCTGAGTCGAGCATGCAGGAGGCAGGAACATCATGGGTTGGGATATAGCATGTTTTTGTTTACAGCACATTGACGGACATTGGACCTAATCACCAAAGGCTCTCTGATCTTGTTTTCTTTCCAAGTTGACATCTTTGAAAGCACTCACTCACGTGAGCTTTCCAAGCATTTATGTGCGAGCTGGCTAGAAAGGTTCTGGAAAATATTATGTCTGGAAGCAGAAATTGATCAGTTGATCAGAAATATATATATACAATTGATACACTCACTTAAAACAAAAGATACTGTTCAGTGGTTACATTGCATGCTCACATCTTAGTGTTCCACTAATGCCTGACTCTTTTTTTATACCTTAGTGTCCTCCAATGAGCCACATCTACGCTGTTCAAAGAACAACATCCCTAAAGCGCGAATGAGAACTCTGAAAATGAGCATCGTCATCGTGATCTGCTTCATCGCCTGCTGGACGCCGTACTACCTGTTGGGTCTGTGGTACTGGTTCTTCCCAGACAACCTGGAGGGGAAAGTCTCTCACTCTCTCACCCACATTCTGTTCATCTTTGGCCTTTTCAACGCCTGCCTGGACCCCATCATATACGGTCTGTTCACCATACGCTTCCGCAAGGGGCTGAGGCGCAGCCACCACAAAGCTGCATCAATGTTAGACAAGGAAACTACCATGGTGATAACAGATGCTTTGAACTGTACTTTGCCGCGTAACAGAGGGATGATCACTGGTCAGGTCAGCAACTTTGACCAGGCTGAGGCAAATCCACTGACTCCAGCTGTCCGACTGTGTTCAGTCAAGGAGAGGGAGGACAATCGCACCACTTCAGCTCTGAGAGCATGATGTGATGAAGAGAAAAATCAGAACCCTGAACTATACACGGTGTAATGTACTGGCTTGTTTTTTCTGTGTTGTCACTTTACTGGATATATTCATTTCACTACAACACCTAACGTGCATGAGTAAGTCTGAAAATATTACGTAACCTTTCCTGTGTAGAGTAATGTCTTCACATGTCTCTTTGTTGGGAGGCACTTGAGGCTGCCCATCTTACTTAAAAATTATATAAGAGCTCTATGCACAAAGAAAAACATGTTTGGAGCTCTTAAATGGGTTGTGTGTTGTGTGACTCGTTGGCTATATACAATGTCGATTCACTGTTACACAACAGTGATTTTGTACACTGCATACTGGTCTTTTTGTTGGTCTCAAATGACTGTTGAGGTTTCTGAGGATGTGATTGTGCAGCTACAGCTGAAAATTGAAGATATATAACCCAGTCCATTTCCTTAAGTGGAGGAATGACGCACTATGTCTCAAATGTGTTACTTTAGCATGTAAGTCACAGGTCAGAATAAAACTATGACAAAAAGACAGTATAATGATGAAAATTCAGTTCAGAAACCTGAAAAGAAAAAATAGCCCTTGTTTTAAAGTCATTCAATATTTGAATACACATTATTTTTACTGACAGACCTGAGATGTGACACAGAGTATGTAACTACAATCAGGATTTGTTTTAGCTGACTATATAGAGGTAAGCTTGTAGAAATGTTAGGTGGGCAGAGGATAGCGAACAGGTGTAGTAGTCTATCTAGCTATTATTCTACGCTAACAGCATCTGAGATCTATTGAATTGTTGCAATACATCACAACAGAGTGACAGCAAGCCATGCACAGTACCAGGACATATTTATGTTCATTTATGTCATAGAAACATGATTCAAACCCTCAGCCCCCACCAAAATACACTTGTGATTATTAAAAAGGTCATTGAACAACCAAAAATTAATTTTGATAATTTCAAATCTGAAGTTTATCTGAAAAGTTTATTCAATACCTATTTGGACATTTCATTTTTCATAACTAGATCACATTGGACCATGTCCTTTAAAGTACAAACATGGCCGGATCTCTCTGCATAAGAAGGATTCGATTCATCACATCATGCACCTGATTCTTCAGAGAACAAGAATTTACATTTTTGTTGCCGAGGAGGGGATAGATGTTCTGCTAAATGACATCATGTTCTTAATGTGCAAGAATACAAGAAAGAGAGACATGAGCAGTTTGGTGGAAGGGATGAACTTATTAAATTTTGGGTTTTGACGACAGGGATGGATCCAGGGATATTTCTCATTTTCTTTTTGCTGTTTACCCAATTCAATTTGTTATTTATTTATTACATCCATCAATTACATCTTGATGAAAAAAACAGGTGCTCGACTGAGAGCTATTCAGATTCGTATTTAATGCCAGAAAATGGGGTGAAAATTCATGATTGACAGTTAATGTTTCTTTTATTTTTTTATTGTGAATACTTAACATTTTGATCCACACTCCATACCGGTTGGTGGTGCAACCTCGTATTTGCACCTTGACACACCCATGCAAATATGAATAACAGAACAGCTTTTTATTCTCGTGGCAAAACTGATGTAAAAATGATAATCTGGGCTCCTAATTTATTCTCTGTAGAATTTATAGTTCACAATATCATCATCAGAACTTAATACTTGTGTAAAACCTATTGTGGAATGGACACAATCATTGTTTATTTCTGTGAGTCACTGATGATTGAATGTTGTCTCTGTATAAACTGAAAACATCTTTTCTCAGGAAGCGTAATTTTGTTTGGACAGGAAACTTTATTATAATTGTAAGTGTACAGCACAGATCATTGTACATTTTGTTAATATATAATATGGTAGAACTAAAGTTGTTTTAAAAAACAGCTTTGTGTAACTGGAGTCGCACAGAGGGTGTCCTTTCCTTACAGAGGTTGACTATTGACTAAGTCATTGAAAAGTAATTCAATGGACAAGTTGTTAAATGAAGAAATGGGCACCTCTTTCATAATTTCTGAAATGGTATACAAAGACAAATGGTCCATTTCCCTAATCAATAAGTTTGAAGGGATTTTCACAAATTAAGATTCATAGATGGGATAAATAAATGTATGTTTTTACTGGAACCTTATATTGAATACAGTGAATAATTGTTAATTAGTAAAAAGTAGCATTTTATTTTGTATGTAATATATGATGAGTGTTCATTAAATGATCTGAGGTGCAATGTTGCACATGTGAATGGAGCAAATGGTTCATGTTTTTCACCTTTCACCAAATTACTAGGAACACTCTTCATTTATGTGTATTGGATTCAGCTTGAAGTGTAATGTATATGTGTTGTGCAATTTTGTTAAAGTGATGTCAATTTTCAAATTCTTTTGTCTCTAATTTACTCTTAAAGATCCAAAATGTCTTCTGCTTCTAGCGTCACAGTATTAACTGCTCCAACTATATATCATGAAATTCTGTTAAATGAGCCAAGGATCAAATGCAGTACAATACAATGCTGTGACCGTGCAAGAGACTGGGCCATTAATAAAAGCATGTTTTGCACAAGATAATCCTCCAATGCCAAAAAAGGCTTGACTCTGATTTTTGAATGAGTCTCGACCTTTACACTGAGTATGATAATGAAAGTTTGCATGTATGCACAGACAAGAAAAGAAAAGAGAACTGAGATGAGTTTAGTCTAAGTAATGTGTCTAAGCAGACTTTCACACCGACCTTGTTTGGTCTGGACTTTTCAGTTTAGAATGAACTAAAATAACAGGTGTGAAAGGTTCCTCAAAGAGACCCACAGAACAAAACTTACTCCCACTGAAAGATCAAAATATGTTTGGTTACTTAAGACTATTGGGCAAATTGCAAGAGGTAGAGCAAGCATTAAACAACAGAAGAAGAAAAAGAAGCAGAAGTGGCTCACAGGATTGCTTGTAGTCTTTTGTTTCCAATGATATATGTTTGAAAGCAGAGGGCATTTATTTAACTGGTAGTATAATGATAATACAGTTGCCACAAAAACATGAATTGAACTGGATCATTAGTTTTCTCCATTCAAATGGAAAGACACTTTTTAAAATTCTGTATATTAAAACAAACACAACAGTTAAATTGACAACATGTTGACATCACATGCACACCTGTCTACAAACCAATCAATGTCAAGCACAAGTAGATGCAACACACTGCAGAAGATGATGACAGGATGTACACACAAAATAATTTAGTATGTCTCTAAAATAAAGGTCAAGATGGTAAATATCCCTTGTACGATTGAAAGTCTTCTGCACAATTTAAGTTACCAGCTACCAGTAGATGTTAGCAGGTGTGAGCGGCCACCAGCAGATGTTAGGAACATAACCTCAGTTGTGCACCCTAGTGTTGTCAAGTTTTTTGGCCTTGATACAGGCCGAACTTGAGGATACGCTGAGGCTAATGCTAAATTGCAATGTGAAACCAAAACTAAGGAGATCAGATTTAAACAACGTATCAAATACATGAACCTTGATTCTGACTTTTAGGCGTTGTTCTTTATATTTCTATCTTGTTAGTAAAACAGTTCACATTGTACCAGCCAGAGAAGGTGTGAGCAGCAGTCAGATGCATATTGTAATAGACCACATGGCCACACAGGAAGCTGAGTCAAAAGGCAAAATGTGTGATTTGATTGGACAATCTTTATTCTGGCCCCTTTCTTTCGTGTAGCCTGTAGCCATGAGTGCAGTGACTGAATCAAGATTGACTGCAGATCATAACAATCAAAACAATGTGTCTCTGGAGATTTATGAGGAGCCCGCATATCCAAGAAAACCAAAACTGGAAGGTTCTGTCAGCCAGACAGTCAGGACCAGTGCACCTCCAAAGAGAGGCATCCAGGTGGCATTTGTCATCCGTCTGTGATGACGATCTGAGGAATACATAAGTCTCTGCCTCCCTCCTGGGAGATTATAGAGCATGCTGAGTAGGATTAATGAATACAATATGTTACAATAGTATGGAACAATATATTCTAGCCATTGTCAGACATGAATTGTGGAGGAATTCTGGATATTTTCTAGAGTTTTCCTTTCACATATAAAAAGAAAGGCAGAAGGAGAGTCAGACACATTCAGGGAAATGTCTGGAATATTATGGCCAGGTGTGTAGTCTGGATAAAGCATGCAAAGGCAGGATATGACATAAATTCTGCTTTTGAAATCATGTATTTCTGTTTTTAGCACATTTACAAAGTCAGGTGCCTTTATCACAAAAAGCTCTCAAATTTGTCTGTCAATCAATCTACATCTGTATCTTCTACAAGTATGGCATATTTTTTCATAGATCATCATCATCATATCTGTATTTTTTTTCTTTTCTCCTTTTTGTTACAATTGCATGTTAGAATTGTCCTGCTACGTTATTATTATGATTACACATGGACTAACTCTAACATCATCGGGAGCAACTGACTTGGACATTCTCACATACTGCCCCTCTGGAAAATGTTAGGAAGATGTCCAGAGATCAGTGCATGAAGGCAGCTTCAATGATGTTATCAAAAGAGAGAAAGAAAAAGAGGGAGAGGGAGAGAGCACATAATTACTCTTTTTATTTTTGGCATCTGGTGGCAGCTAATTAGCTAGCTCACTGAGGCACGATTAGCAGGATAATAATGTAAGAGAGCTTTTTCCAAAAGACAAAGCATGAAGGCAGCAGGTGCAGGTGAAGCTGGAGGAGGTAGAGGAAGAGTCACCTCCTGGAGGAGGTAGAGGAAGAGGCACCTCCTGGAGGAGGTAGAGGAAGAGTCAACTCCTGGAGGAGGTAGAGGAAGAGGCACCTTTGTGCCTAACATTTAACTGATGTGTCTATGGGCACATGGTGTTAACACCTGTCCTGAGAGATCCAATCACAAGTGGCCAGTGTTAAAGGGATAGTTCACCTAAAAATGAAAATTCATTCATTATCTACTCACCACTATGCTGATGGAGGGGTGAGTGAAGTGTTTGAGTCCAC